AATTAATATTTCAAATGTCAGTTTCTGGGCCTAAATAAATGGCCCCCTGTTTATCGAACAACGCGCGTAGAAAGGGAATATTATTAGATGAATACGGGCAGGTCTACTGAGAAAACTGTGGGGGCAGGAATTCTCTTCTTCGCCGTTTTGTAACACACTCCAGGTTTTCCCGGGGATAATGCAGCCGGAGAGTCATCCTCCAGTGCCGAAGTCCAGAGTGAGTGGAGCTTCGAATCCATTACCCGTATGACTTCCTAGCTACGAGTTTCGTCGAAGTAGAAGTCGATTATGAAGTCTTATAGGAAAGTATGAATGTAAATTGGAATCAATTGTAAACCACGCTTCGCAACCCAGGAACCCCTTTTCCTTATCGCGAAAGAAACTGGCAAGGAGGACCTGTTAAATAGGCTTCAACGGGAATCGAACTGACTCAAGTGTCACAGATTTGCTCTAAACTACATTTGTTTTATAAATTTATAATTATCGCCTCCGCGATCTCTGCATCTGGGCAAATGATGACATCAGCTTAGGTTTAGTTTAATGTTTCGTTTATTTTAGTAGAGAACAGGTTTCTTGCGGGCTTCAAAACACGTGAAATTTAAGCTGCTGAAAATTCGGACCAAGGTTAACTACGGACATCCCATCTCTTGTCATACGCCCCACATCACCGCTTATCTTAAGGTTTAACAATTTAGGGCAACTCCAGAAATGCAGTATTTAGACCCAAGGGAGTTATCTGTCATTTCCCTTCGTGCTACTGTTTTCAACTAACCTTTGGAATATCGTGAGGGTAGTTGTTGTCTCTTGGCGGTAGTTTCGGTGGTTTGTCGCTGCGGCGCTGCAGTAGGTGCTGCTGTTGCTGAAGTAGTTGTTCCCTAGTTGCGGCAACCATACCATTTCCGTTTCCTGTTCCATTGGTAGTCCCTACCCCAGAACTTCCCGATGACCCGCCACTTCCGGCAACGCTATACGGATCTTCGTCTGGGATAGGGATACGGGGACGATTTCGAATATCGATAGCTCGTTTGACTGTAACACAAGACATCGTACACCTTTCAATTCACTTTCCTTCCTAAGTCAAAATGACGAATGAAGAAGCTTTGTGGTATTTATTGACTGTGTAAGTGTATTAATTAAAAATTAATTTTTCATAAACTTCTTGTTCACCAGATAATGAACTATGAAGAAAATTTATAGAGAGAATTCGTAGGTACACAAAACAGTATCTTTGACGAAAACAGGATGAACTTACAAAATGACTTATTCAGCGCTGCTAAAATACTTAGCACTTCCCGTAATAGATATAAGATGATGTGTGGAAGACCTTGGAAATATATTTACCTCCACTGAAGTCAATACATGAGAATTTCTTTAAGACGGATTCTTTCAATAAAAAAAATGGTTGGTACTAAGTACAATTCGGGTTTTCACGAAGCAAATAAAACAGCATTTCAAGGTTTCTGGGTACATCGTCCTCTCAGAGGGGGGCATTCGCTGATAGGGTTGCATGCTGGTAAATCTGTTTTAAAGAACCGGTTACTTTTCAAGAGACATTTGTTTGGAACTTCACGGAACACCAATTGAAGATTTCAATACAGTCCTTTTTAAATGAGACTATGGCACTTCAGGGTGGTCCATTTAACTCTTTTCATTGAGAAGTTAATCACAGCATCCGTGAGCGCTCAATAGAAAGGCTGAATCTGAAATCTTTTTCCCAAGTTCTCAAAGTAAAGGCTTCGAGTAACTTATTACGTGATTATGTTCAATTGTTCGCCTGTCGTTACTAAGAAATGCTTATATGAAGTAAACTTACTAAGAAATGCTTATATGGAGTAAACTTTCTTATAATGTTATCCTAAGTGACCTGTACATTTTCCGTTTAAGATAAGTTTTCGTCTAGCGTACGTGCTTCAGGACAGAAACTGTGCACACTAGACCCTCCCCATATTTAAACATGTCTGCAGATGACAGTCTTCTAGGATACTGGGCCGCGTGTATAGTAGAAGTTGATGGACGTTACTGCCTCTGTCACAAAGGCGAATAGTCCATCATCCGTGTCTATGAAGTTAGAGATTTTGTCCCAAAAATTCCCGATTGTAAATCAGGAGTTATCATCATTTGTCCGCAAGGGTCTGGTGAGGAAGTGTAGTATTGGTTGCGGTCACGGGGCGTAATTGTGCTATTATTGCTTAGGCGGGTGTAACGTATCATCTCATCATCTCCCATGGACAGATGCTCTGCGTGCTGGCTGGCGGCTGTACCTCCCACACTGAGTGTCGACTTCAAACCTATCCAGCTTCACAATCACATCATCGGTATTACTGAGAGCAGTATTCATAGAAGGTAGAGCATTTTGTGAGTGTCCCTGCAATCCGAATTATGAATGGGAAAAGGCCAGATGCCCAAACGCGTGAAAGCTGAGGGCGAAGAATAACAAGTGATGCGTATCTGCAGGATTTGAGACTTTCGCGGCGAGTACAGCCAATAAAATCTTGGGTAAATCAGCCGCGTTAACTGGTTACCGTAATAAACGCCCGTGTAGACTCGTCGATAGATGCCAGGGTTTCGGAGAAACACATTGACTCCACCTTCAAGGCTGAAGACAGTATGTTTCTCTGAAACGCTGGCATCTATCGACGAGTCTACGCGGCGCCGAAACCCAGAGGGACGTCGTCGTCGTCGTCAGCTTGTCCTGTAATCGTTTGGTTCTGCACATTACATCTGTCATTATATTTACAGGTTATGTTTAACAATGGTGATTGTGGAATATTTTAAGACAGGGCTACTTACAATGCAAAATTTAAGTTTCTTTAACAAGAAAAAGTACCATAACATTTCGGTTAATCAATATAAATATCGTTGTATTTTTTTGTCTCTCTGTTCTGTCTTACGGAAGAGCACAGTAGTGGTAAAAATCATGCTTCAGCATCCGTGAAGCGAGCACATTTCAAGCCCGCCATATTCATGGCATTCGGACTATATTATGCTCGTTTTAACACATAGCTGCCTGGTTCGGCATCTTCATGAGTTAAACCCTTTGTATGTGCGTATGAATCTAATACTCAGCTAACAGCAATAATGACCTTGAATACAGGCACAAACGGCTTGCCTGTGTTTGCACAAAATGTGTAGGTTTATGAATTATTTACGTTTCGAAGTCGTGGATGCTGAGGTTACAGTTCTTAAAGTTCACGGCTCCGTTCGAGTTACATAATAAAGTTCCTAGCTGGTTTCATCCTTGAGGAAGAAACGATTCCATTAAGTAATCACTAATTATGGATACGAATTCGCTGTCCGACTTAACTTAATGACCGTTTTTTATTTTCATACCAAACGTTCTCATACCCATCTTTACAATACGATAGTCTTATGAGTGGTGGAGGTAATACTATGAGAATTTTTTGAAGGCAAATCAAATTAATTACAATCATAAGTGTCGATAAATTAACGAGATAGGGATTAGCTCTATCTAGTGGGCCCAACTGTGTAGGAACCTGAAGACGGAGATAGAGTCCCATCTCCGAAACGTCGTTTTACGTTTTATATTTACTAGACGATGGATAATATCCAAGAAAATTTTTATTCAATTAAATTTCAGTAGTTTAACATACGTTCTGACCAAAATTATCGGGTTTCTTTTTTAATGAATTATATTAGTGAGCAATAATATTAAGCTGTCATTATTCAAAAATGAACTGAGAGCCAATTAGGCAAGATTCATGTTGTTTTATGCGTTACATTTGGAGTTCTATTTTCTCTTTTTCAGAGAAACGTAAGTATGCAAGCCTACTCCAGTTAGGAGTACACACATTTTCCAAATAATTTCTTTCCGATTTTGCAGACTTCATCGACCGTCATATTCATTTACTGCAGATACAGATCCAGTCATGTCCAGTTATGTTTCCTTGTGTTTTGGACAAGTATTAACAGTATTCAATTAAAGTTGAATATATTTTCGTTTTAGGTTTCTTCCTTTATCGTGCGGAGCACGGACTTTAACCCGACGAAAAATCTATTGCCATTATGTGAATGTTTTATAAAGTAAGTGATGCACATTTTAGTTTAGATATGTATACCCAGTTTAATTAAATGTGTTTGCTGTCTCAGAAAGTCGCGATAGGATAATTATTTATTCGTATTCAATTATAGGCTAACACAGGAATCAGCAAAGGTTTTTGTAACTGATTTGTTTTCCGTGTTGGTGAACAACACAGAGATTAAATTAAAGCTGCACAGTAGTTATATAAACGTTATTGTCGATAACGTCATAAAGCTTTGACGTCATTAAAGACACTACAAACTATAGATCCTACTTTAACAGCGAAGTGAACAACAAATTTTGCACCAGGAGTGCGAAATATGAAATATTTTATTATATATCGCAAGGTAAACAGTTCTGAGGTGAGATGGTCGGGTCATTCAACCACAGGTGAAGAACGTAGTTTGTGCTAATCTGTTTCATTACGGAGTGATAAAACGTAAAATCATTATTCGCCCTGCGATCATATGAGCGTAATCTCATCTCTGTTCCCTTTGTGCAGTGATCGCATAGGTGCCTTCTCATTTTCATTGACTTTATTCTTTTTCACAGTTCGAAGCCCGTCCTTGAAAACAAAACAAACCAATGAATACCACCGCAATTTGAGTCCAGTAATACGGTCTCGATTTCCCGTGCATAATTAAAGATCAGTAGCGAAATAAAGAGGTACAGCTTGAGGCCCATAATCGGTTACCTCACTGGAACTGAATTTGGAGATGACTATGTTAGTGTCGAGCAGTTAATTTATTCTGTTTTTTTTTCAAAACCACCTGTACCTGTCCTTGAGCGCAAATTTTATAATAATTTCTTGTGAAGTTCAAGGTATAAGGCCATCCCTAAATCGTTACATACTTCAGTTGTGGGATGACATAATACGATAATACGTCGCGCAGTGTTGTGTTGTGTGGGCGTGATTTACTATCCGTTCTGGTGAAGTATTCCTGTTTGATAGTACATATTCAACGTGAAACATCTGTAGCTTAAAAACGTACATTTATTTTAAATAATAACAAATTTCGTGGAGCGGGGCCGTCCTTGAGAATCGGATAGATTGAACTAGTCAAATTTCCAGCCTTTTCTTGAACTTAAAGGTTAATTTCCGCTCTCGTAAGAGCCTACCGATGATCCATATCCTTAACCAGGTGAATACAATGCATGTAATTCCACTCCACCTTCATTACGGTATATTTTCATTTTAATCCGTTTATTTGGCAATGAATTCCTTATTTTGAGACTGGCTGAATATCCACTTTATTTACGAGAACTATGTAATATTATTCTGAAGTTATATGTTTGGAGCACGGCGCTACACGGAAGCGAAACATGGACAGTGGGAAAGCGAGGAAGAAGGAGGATAGAAGCATTTGAAATGTTGAAAATTAAGTGGACCGATAAAGTAGGAAATGAGGACAGGCGAAGGATGAAGTCTCTGGGAAAATGTTACGAGAAGAAGAGATAGGATGGTGGGACACATTCTGAGGCACCCAGGATTGGTTAATTTGGTAATGGAAGGAACAGTCGAAGGGGGGAGACAAAGATTGGAATATGTGACGCAGATTTTTGAGGATGTGGAAATGAAGAGATTGGCGCAAGATAGGCGAAAGTGGAGGACCACATGAAACCAGTCGAAAGACTGATGACAAACAAACATGTGATATTATTAACTCAGTTGCTACACCACTGAACTTGAATCTGGAACAAGTTAATATTCTATTTCAAAAACTGCTCATGGTACGAAGAAGCATTTGTCAGTAAATCGACATGAACCCAGTGCGGCACACAATAACGCTATAAACGCATTTGGAAACGTTTTCTTTGATTTATCTATTTTTTGACTTTGGGTAAACCCTAAATTGAACCAATTTTTTTTTCAAAAACCCGAACAGTGCATTTTAGCTGTTTACAGTCGGTCCTTGTGTGTGGCTTGGTCAGTGTTTTCAGTTCGGAAAGTAGCTCTAATATCCGTTGCCGTGGTAACCTTGCAGTCCACGTTCACGGACAAGGCCTGCCTCTGTACATCTTCCAGTGTCTGTAAGCCAGTTGTAAACAGTTCCGTCACGTACGTATTCCTGCATTGTGAGGCGCGGGTCTGTCAGACGAGGCTTTCTGTGAAATGCTTTCAATACCTGTCATGCATGCATACGAAGTGCAGAACGGTACCGTTCGGTGGCCCCTGTTAGGTTACACGCATTTTGATTAACGTCTTCCGCAATTTGAAACTTCGACTCGCTACATTTTACGCCAGCGTAAACACAAACAAATGTAAAATTTGTTTTTTATAACGTAAGTCAGATAGACATGTAGAACGCATGGAGGAAATGTGAAAATCGTGCGGAATATTTTCATCTGGGAACACTGAGATAAAATGCCATATAGAGGATATAGATGGGAGGATAATATTAAAAACGAATGAATAAAAATTTTCTTTGATATTTTCCATCGTCTAAGAAATAATAAACTGTAAAACGACGTTTCGGAGATGGGGCTCTATCTCCGTCTTCAGGTACCTACTCTGTTGGACCCAATAGATCCCTATCTCCGGACTTAGGAAGAATTGAAGGATGTTTGTGATCTGTTGGTATGGATGTCAAAAGGAAATAGCAACGGTCTGTTCCAAGACACGTCCCTAGTATTTTCCTAGAGGAATCGAGAAAAACGAAGGAAAAGTCTGAATATTGCACTGAAGAGAGGAGTTTTAATACCCCTACGTAGAGTCAAACCTGATACCATGGTTGGACCTTGCGTACGTAAAGTAGCTGTTGAAGAATAGTTGAAGAAGGGAAAGTGTGTTAATGAAGGACAAACATACATACACAGATGCGTGGGAAAACATGTAACAATGTATTCTTATGTATTTAAATGTACCTTTCTAATAGTAAACAAGGGTATTTTAAACGAAATTACGCATTTAAAATTGAAGCAGGATTCCTGAAACCAGTTACTCAGAGAAAAACAACGTAGAAAGTGTGAAATATCCGCAAAGCTTATTTAAATTATGTTTTGAAAGTTCTGTGGCATAACTTCGGCGCCTGGATAACGCCTTCGTACCACGGAGTCTTGGGTTCAATCCCAAGATACACTTCCTTTCTCGCACATCTGTTATCTATCTCGATTCATCATCTACATAAGATCAGTCACTGGACTGTAATCTCAACAGGTGACACATCGTCATGAAACGGAATACACAAACTACATAATTTTGCCGATACGGCGTTGTTGAAAAATCTGTAGAGAGGACAGAGAACGACTGTCCTCTGGGGTGTTGGGCCGTGTAGGCAGCAAGGACCTCTGAAGCATCGGTAAACTTCTACCAGAATACACGGTGCTACAACCCAGATGACAGCCTTCTTTGGAATCACCGCCGCGAAAACCAGAAATCTCATCATGTCTGTAAATTCCTACGATTAGGCCGAGGGGTTAATCGCTTCATCTTTGTGCGTTTAGTTCGTATTCTGCAGTATAAATATAACCATGATTCAAAGTAATACTGACTGCAAGAAAATTGCATATCACCTGCCCTGTTTCTTTCGTTTAGTTAGCGCTTAAACCTGTTGCGAATAAAAAGGAACACTGGACATCATTCCAGATGGAAACACGAAGATATTACCTAATTTACAATCAGAAGTCTGTGGTGCGGGGTTTTCTTAAAACTTGTCAGTTACTTTGCTCATCAGTAAGCGCTCTCATTTCTTGGAACTTAGAGGTTTATGACCGTGGTCGCAAGAACACGCCGTTTGGCTCTGTCCTGATAGAGTTCAGCTCACTTTAGCCTTTCATACTCGATTTAACCAAGATCCATTCTGATAATTCCCTGACATCGAAGCCTGTGTCTTCCGAGTAGTGTAATTCCTTCAAGTATTCCCTCCAGAAATGTTTAGGCATGTCTCATTTCCTCTGCCTACTATTTTCTCAGCGAATCACTTATTTCGTTTATTTTATCTCCTTCAAACTGAACTTCCGAAAAACTAATAATTCACGTTTTTTTGGCACCAAATGCGTTATAGGAGTATGAAATATAGATTTAGGATATTAGAGAGTGCAGGAGGGATATATGAAAGATTCACATATCTTCATAAAAGATTAGATGGGTCATACATAAATGGAACACACACCAGAAAATCGTAACGCCTGTTACTTTTCAGCTGGTAAATTTCAGTGGGGTGTAGATGATAGAATATTGACAGTTTTGTGCGATGTAGCGCCGTGTAGTCTGGTAGAAGTTTATCGACGTTCCATAGCCGCTCGCTTCTTGGCGTCATCGGGGCGACAGTCATCTTAATATTCACCTCAGTGATAACCTTAAATCCCATCTGGTAGAATATGGTTAAAATGCATGATACGAGCGGGTTGTCAGAAGACGTACCTGGAGGAAGTTTCGACTTGAGCATGTCCATGGCTACGACGTTGATTATGAGCACCCAGATGGGGCAGTCCAGAAGCTCAGGTTCGCTCTTCACGAAAGCCACAGCGCTGAGGCATTGGCACTCCAGGCGACGCCTGTCTGGGTAGGCTCGCCGCAGCTCTCGGTGTACGTTCTGTTGGAATTTCTTCATGTCGAATAACTGCAACATTAGAAGACACGAAATATGAATTTTAAAAAAAAAGTATAACGGTGGCACGTTTCTGGGGCAGGTGAAAGAGGGATTTAACACGTCAGGCCGTATTCCACTAAGTAACGTCTTTCTTTCTCCTCACCAAAGAATTGTTTACTGAGATGGCTGTCGTATGGGTTGTAACGCCGTGTAGTCTCGTAAACGTTTACCAACGTTTCAGAGGTCCCTGCTGCTTCCATCATCAGGTGGTTAGTCGTTGATAAACTTCTACCAGACTACAGTGCGCAACAACCCACGAGACAGCCATGGTTTTACTCACTGCCGTGAGAACCTCAAGAATTTCCACACTTGTTTCAACCTAAAATTCCATCTCAGTGTTCATAAAATCCGTGTAGTAAACATGAACGAAGAGTGTTATAACCTGAAGCTTATCCGAAACAAGTTCATTACTGTTGTATTACGTATAATAAGTATTCAGATAAAGGGGGATGAAATGGGCGGGGCATGCAGTATGCAGGGGTGAGAAAAATGAATAAAAATTTTACTCGGAAAACCTGAAAGGAGGATAGATCCCCAATTGGGAGGCAGAGATTAGAAGATGCTATTAAAATGAATCTAAAAGAAGGATGTGAGTGTGGGTTGGTCCTTCTGCCGAGTTATTGTGAGCACGAGTTCCATAAAAGGGTGAAATTTCTTGGCCAGGTAACCGACTACTAGCGTTCAATTATTTCCACTAACTATACTTGATATGATAACTTATTAATAACGCTTTATTTTAAGTATATTTCAATGTGGTGCGTATTTGAATAAATACAATTTTTTTTTTTGTTCTGCGTTGCAACATGTCTGTAATTAACATTCGATTTATTTATATTACAACTGTTTAATGTGGGGTAGTATATCTCCTGTTGATAGGTGAGTCAGCAGTAATATTGTAGGCCTGTCCATAACATTTATATCAAGGCCGCTGTAGAACAGGTGAAGTTGTTAATTCTTTAGGCCTATACTCCAAATTACTTTACGCGTAATTAAACAACCCAAGAATCAGTCAAGAGGAAGTGACTGTCAATGAGACGGCATTACTAAACACAAGCAGAGAAGTTAACCAGAGTTTCCAGGTAGACGAGTAGTTTGTGACGCGTAGAGGAAAAGTGACGTAAACATGATATTAAGAGTAAACCAACTAATCTGTTTTGAATTAACCGGTAGCAAATGTTTTAGAGAAAGTTAAGGGAAAAAATTCCTAGTCCCAGTCATTCTTATGTATTCTCAAGGAACACAATGTGCTTTGTCTTCGCTGTCATTGCATTGTTCCTCCGTGTGATTGTACGATTCGTAGAACTCGATACACAGGCACAGATTCATGTTCTCTCAAACACCCGTACAATAATCGTGTTTGATATCTGCATATTTGTTCAAATTGTTATGAGGAACTTATAGTGTGATTATTAATATTTTTGTGCTTGTTTATTGGTCAATATTTCCGAGGGTTAGATATATTTTTAATCTCTGTTTCGGCACAAAATTACAGGACCTTAAATTTTCTTTCTCCATGTTAGTTTTATTGACAGAAAGGGACACAAAAATTGCCAGGTTGGTTGGTCCCGTAGTGGCATGGTGTTAGCACTAAGTCTCATGTGAGAAGCCCTTCCGTTCTGACCTTGACAGGCTTCTCCATCTCCAGGGCGCAGTTGGGTAGCTTGAGCACGTCGTTGCCGACACTCGTCTCATCCCCTGCGCTGGTACACTTCACGAAGACGTTGCATTTGGACACGCGCTTTACCAGAATGTTACCCTGGTCGTCCATCTTCACTTTGACCCCCTGCAAGCAGAGAGTTCGATCGTACAACTATCATGAGATGAACACGCTTGAATGATCGCTAACAAACAATCAAACATCATCAGTCTACTGAACTGACTACGTGCTACTCGATCTAACGTGTGCTGAATCACTACATCCTAACAAGTAGTTGTTACTAACAACGTGACTGCTTACCATATTCAATAAAATCTTCTTGGGCAATCAGCCGCGCTACCGTAGTAAACCGACGTTTCGGGAACAAACTGTACCCATCTTCAGGGTTTTGATGTGACTGGATCCTCGGAAGTCGGCTGATTTCCCGAGAAGATTTTATTGATTGTACTCGCCGCGAAAGTCTGAAATCCTATACTTACCTACCATCCTAATTATCAGTCTGACTACCTAACAATATACTTGTAGATTACCTCATTAGTCACCAATCGGAATACCTACCCACCAAGCTACCATTCCAACTACCGAGCTATTTACATGAATATTGATGTAACTACCTAACCACAAACTTGCGTCTATCTAAATAAGTGTTATATCTCAGTATTTCCTGTAATCTGCTTTAAACCTATCTAACAGCTGATCTTACCCAGCTTTCTACTTAACAAAAAGCCCAACTAAGAAGCTTTATTCTTCATATTAATGACACACAGGTCTGTTTTCTTTACTGCTTGTATGAAAAATAATGAATGTATGAAGCATTTATTAGTCAAGACTGAATTAATTGACTGAACAGTACTTCTCTCTGTCCGACGAATGTGATCGTAAGAATTAGCGAATTTCTGGGAATTAGTGCAGTGAAAGTGAGTTAGTTGTAATTTTACTACTGCAAGTTGTCGGATTATAAACATGAACGTCCTTCTCTGAACATCGTGCAGGGTCGCTTGAAGTATGTAAGTTCCAAGGAACTTGTTAGCATGTGTACTTACGTGTCCTATGTGCCGCTTGATTTCATCTGTTTTGGGATCCCTCATTGGGTTATCGAAACCGCACAGACCAATCCTATAAGAAATAAGAGACAAATGAATAACTCGTATTTCTTAGAGAGTCTTCATGGAACGACTAATTGTGGTGAAGCGTTTGTATAAAAATACATAAAAATGTTGTCTACTGAAAAGTTTTCCGTCGTGAGGGTCCTTTGCCTCTGTCGTAGGAATCCACCTTTAGAGCCTGTTAAATCAAATGAAACTATCAACATTTGTATGCAATGTAGTTTAATAATATCTTCCGAAAATACTATGTCACGCACGTGACCTATTTTCATCTAAAACATTGCATGTATTTCACATTTAAGCTAGAAGCAATCGATGGGTGTTTTTAGACACGCCAGTCTTATCAACCCTTTGAGGCCGGAGCTGATAAGTAATATTTAAACATTAAGTCCCGACCTCAAAGAAAACACATCTCCATTACATAGGTCAGTCGCTTAGTACTTCTTAGGGAAATAATTGCTGTTTATTCTGTTATATGAAACCCATACACAACGAGTTGGCATAACGCAGTCAGATTTTTAAAGCAGTGGTACATATAGTTACCACTTGGTTTGAAGGGTTAATGCTGTGAAGTTTCTTTACGGAGCAGAGCAAATGTTGAGGATCATGTTCGATATTTATAAGTTACCGGATCATTAGCAAACATATTCGAGTCTTGAGTAGGAGACGCAGGAAAGAAAGATGAAGACGAAGCAGAGGGGAGAGAGGAGTAAACAAAGAAGGAAAAGGGGAATATAAACAGAAGATCTGGAAGATAAAGTAGGAAATTATAAAAGAATGAAAGACGAATAAATAACAAAAAAGGAAGAAGACAGACTTTAAAATGAACTTATAATACGAAGCTTTTCCAGTCTGTTAACAGGATATTT